AGGTTAGTAAGAACTCCACTCATAGTGAAGAGAAATGATAATAGAAAAAATGTAGTTCCTGCAAAGTCGTTCTGTGTGTGCTTGACCTTCAGCGTGGTCCGTTCTGATAAAGTTGTCGCAATCACTCGCCGATAATCGCCGACCGGCTCCGGACGGAACACAAGATTAAACAGCATTGCAGTCTTCATTCAAGTATAGAATAAAATGACACATGCATCAAAATTTGTCCTAGTACGACCATTCCATTAACCTTTCTAGACATAAGGCAATATGGATGTCCAGACCTTTTCTCCATGTCCAGCCAGATCTTTTACGTAGTCGCCACCGATTCTCTTCATACGATAGAGAGGCGCCGACACAGAAGCTACCAATTAGGTCTCGATAATTATAGTTAAGATAGCACACAGTGCGTCCTACCTTTCTAAAAGGTGCCATTCAGGGGTCTGTTGTTACATCACAGGTGGCTAATTACTTCGATGCCATCGATACGAACTGTTTATTGCTAACTGACGAAATAATAGCGAAGATAAAACGTAGATGCGGATCGACCGAAGACAAATGCAGGACTAATTAGCCGTTAAACTTAGATGTCGAGTCTGTATTTAGCGTGAGACTCAGATAGTAATTATAAATGGAGTGGGATTTCCTTTGAAGACTGTTACGCAGATCACGCAATACCCTTTATCTATTTATATTATGAAGTATGAACATTGCTCGCAACTGCAGTTGTACTGCTGATGTTGATACAAGGAATCCTTTTTCGAGCACTTACTTGGACAACGGCGCAGCTCTTAATAAATTGTTAAGAACGCTTTTTAGCAGCAATCTGTAACATTTTAAATCATCGAAAACTATGCTACATCTAAAAGCCATCGCTGAAGTCGAAAAGATGTTTGGCTCGCAATTAAAATTTGACTTCACTAGGAGTACCTGGACAATCAAAGTTAATAGCTTGTAGAACAACTATAAGTTGTTTCGCGTTACTCAAATAGAGCAATGAATGTATCACTGCAGGAGATCATCTAAGATGAAACGTAAGGCTTCAAAGGGTTCCGTGGATATTCTCGCTCTTTGAACCTACACAGACCGAGGCGGAGTGTTGTCATTCAGTGCAAAAATGTGGGTCCTAACCTTGTTCCTTTTGCATCTGTACCATTCCGCCACGCCGGCGTATGGCAATCAAGCCCATCCGTCACTGACTGAAAAATGCCAATACTATTCTCGTGCCGAGCTTCTTGACAAAAAAAGCGTTTACAACATATTCATCAGCGATAACTTTAGTAGCGTCACGACCAAAGAGGTTAGCAGAAGACCACTTTCAATAAACACGTTTCGGTTAGGGCCGACCGATTGGCCTCTTACTTCGAAGACAGAGCTGCTTGCTGAAAAACTTCACTCAAAAAACCAGGGGTGCAGCAAAGACGGGCTCCATTCCAATCTACAAAGGGGCAAAAGACAAGCCAGCTTATCCGAAGCGTACGCATTCGTCACGTAATTGTCCTACACGTGCGTCGATCGAGGTAATGGAACGGAGCTATCTCGTAGCACAAAATGACGAATGGACCTCACAACCTTTTCGTCAAACTCACGGTGACTCACAGATTCAGTACACATCTATATAATCAACATATTAGACATGATGCACTATAAGTAATAAATATGTCTCTATCTTTTATAGGTCCATCTATCATTTTTTCGTAAGAAATTCAACATCGACCCGTGTGCCTATGTGCCGAAGCTGTGATTATTTGATGCGCTAACTTAGCGTTCGGACTTACTTTCCCTTTACACCTAGCGTCAGTCGCTTGTAGGCACAAATGCTGGGAGTTTTTGAATAAAAAAAAATATACACACGCAGATACGCAATGCGCACGCACGATGAATGTATTTTCTTGCGTCATATAAAGATAACAATGCGAAACTCGTACACTTACTTGCTACTGCTTCTTCTAGCAAACGAATTTTGTCGCGTATACCTTTTAGGGAACGCGACTGACTCAATAAACTCTCCGTCCCGTTCTTGTCGCTGGTTCTATTTTTTGCAAAATATCACGTTCAAGGTGGAATCGTAGGGGGCAATGCACTTAGAACAATACACCGGACAGCCACTGTTATTGAAAAGTGGACGAAAATCGAGACGTCAAAGTTCATCACAGAAGTCTATTCACACGACAACATGCACGCAGTCCGCTTTCAAGTGATGAAACACCCACTGCAACGCGATATCATATTTAATTCCTTTGTTTCTGAAGTAAATACTTACCGTATACAGGGTAGAAAATAGAGATGTTGTTGAAAAATGGCACTTTGCCTTGAATTAAGGTACAGAAACTGTCCGGTGCTTTGTCTACTATAACTAGTCCATATTCAAGCGGTGTATCTCGTTAGCTGCCCCATTCGCAGTGATCGGTTGTGGATAAGTTCGTTGTTCTCCAACTTGCTAGCCTCACAACTTGATATTGAGATCCGTATAGAGTGATACATGTAGCTTTTACACCCTGCAAGGACTCTATTGATCATCTTCAAAGTAAAAGCATGTGGTTAATTTCTGTGACGAGCAACTCAGGTAGGAAAAGCGTTATAATCCATCTAATTTTCCTGTGCAAATCGTGTGAACACGATCCGTTCCATGATCCTGATGACGAACTTCCGATAAATCCCTTTACTCCCTTGCCCCTTATACAAAAGTACCACAGGTATACTGAAGCTCATTGCTATTTCCTAGATGTAGAGAAAAGGAGCAAAGGCGCGTCGCTGTGGAACGAAAAGACAGTTACATAGTCGTCTGATCACGCCGATACAAACCGCGGGTGATAGATCGTTCTGTGTTAAACCAGATCACAATCAACAAGCAGATACGATTTGTTTCTCATCCGTTACTTGACTACAGAGGATAAAAGTTACCGCAGAGAGACACCAATGGGCGCAAAGATGGTAAACATTAATTAATATACACTCATTTACGCGTATGGTATAGTCATAATAATAGTGATGATGTATGAATTCAGCCCCTTGCATATGCGTGTTTGTGGAGATAATCATCAATTATTTTTTGGATTGTAGGGCTGCAATCACTAAACATCGACGACGACGCGCAGATAATGGTAGCTAACCCGATAAAAAGATTGGTGTAAAAAAAATTGGGCTAAAACAGCTACTGATTTTATCGACGGTCGCAGTTGCTGTAAGGAATAGAAAAGGCGGTCATGGGATGGCGGCTGGGTACTTGGCATCTGCAGAAACACCACCTGCATCCGATCACGAAAATAGGGAAAGCCATGTTCCAATATTCGTTATAAATAACAACATAATGTTACGCAGCCATATTTGAACAATAATAGTCCTAAACTGGGTGATCTATTTATCTACTAAAAGCAACATGTACATGATCTATACATATACAAATCAATCGATAGCCAACAATGCAATCAGCCGAGATGATTCTCATCTCTTTCCTTGTTTTTGCTGGCGATTATAGCATCTCTCAGTTTGCCCTTAACGCAGCCTTGATAAGTGACAAGTTGTATGTGCCTTACAAAATACGAGTCTGATAACTTTACTTAATGGGAATATTAGCTGGTTGGTGTCGGTAAGCCCATGTCGAAAATTTGTCACAGATAGTATTATTGAGTGTGCACTTCAATAAACTATTACAACACAGATAAACCTCGCTACAAAAAAGGATTTTTAAAACAGTCTCCCTCTTTCTCACTGTACATATATATAAATATCTATATGTATATGTATATATCCTAACTTCTTAATAATGCTTTTTTTTTTTCTTTTACTCAATGTCCTTTATGGCATGCAGTCGTTTAATGCGAGTGTGGCTCCCTCTGCCCGAGATAACTGTTATCACACCGCTGAATTCTAGTATTAAATATTGTGAGTTAATTATATACCGCGTGTAAGTAGCATATAAAAATAATTAATGTTTCGGTCTTCCAGTCGTAAGCTGATGCTTTGGAATTTCATCTTTGTTGTCTACAGACACGCTTTTTTTTTCTTGAAGTTTCTAGGACTAGTAAATATAAATCTCGATTGTACTGTTACTCTGCAGGTGAAGATCCGGACTGGATAAAGTGCAATGTTCATTGTCTGAAATATTGTATCGTTCATTCATTCAACACCAAACAGGTTCTGAGCGCGATCGAACTGAATAATTTAGCCCATATAACCTAAACCTGCCATACGGAATCTTTAGGAGAAGTTCTGTATAACCATGATTACCTCTAGTTGTTTGATCTACAGAATGTTCCAGTATTATCAGTGTGATGAACTCGACGAAAAAAAGGTGACGCGTTCCACTATCAAGAGCAACTGGGCTTTTCAAAAAGTTATTCAATTAACATTCATAAACGGTAAATTGCAAGTGGTATCAGCTCTATCTTGTGTTATAGTTTATTATTTAGAATCGTAATTAAGTTACCTAGAAAAGTAATGTATACGAATCTCTTCACCTTCACCTTCACCTTCAGCTGATTATATCTATCACTATAACAGCTCCTGAATTCATCTAGTTGATTCTTTTTAAAAAATGGCTAGGACGCACCGAATCACCCGCGCAACGATCCTACATGCTTTTTAGCCAGCTACGCAAATGAACGATTAGAGTCGCTAATAAACTTCGACCGTTTTAAAGTTGTCTGTAACGGATCAAACGACCACTTTTTCATGGGTGGATACATAATCATGACTAGTAACCGTTTTGGAACTTTACAAAGCACGATCGGAATAACTGCCTCTAATTTTTCAGCTCATCCGTGGCTCTGCGGTGTCCTTATGCACATCTACTTTCGGAGACGATTGGAGTTGCCACCGCAGTGGAAAGGGAAGGCGCCGAAATCTTTGATTCTTTCAGAGACGCTGGGTCCGCGCCGCCCACTTCCAGAGCCCGTGAGGACGCTGCGATCTGTCTGAGTCCTTTCCTTTCCGACTTTGGACGGAGAGGAGAAAGCGGGTTCCGTAAAAATCAAATAAGAACCCTATTTGCGGCTAGAGTGACAGAGTAGCTTCATCCTCGACCGACTTCGAAACGCCAAAGGTTTCGACCGTAACTCTACTCTGTGTCGTGTGGATGCTGGTATCTGCGGAAAGCGGCTATACAATCAATTCGGAACAATGGCGAAGGCAAATAAGGTGAGTGTCGCCTGTCAACTCCTTCAGCCTCCCCTCGGCTACTACTAGAAATCTATCCAAAAAAGAAGTTAGTTAGTGAGAAATGCCCTTCCCTAAAAATTTAGTCATTCCTATGATTGCCTGTGCCCAAATGTGGACAAGTATCATCACAGAACTGCCATAGTGAATACACGACGAGTTAGCAGGGCGAGTGTTAGCTGCAAGGAAAACACACCGGACATGAATAAGCCTACCGTGTATCAATTAAGACGGAAATATATATCGATCTCAGTGAGGCTCATGAGCGCTACGGCTGGAATTTCAGTCGAACTTCCCTACATTTCCTAGACCACAGTGAAGATGGGGTCAGTTTTTTTTATGTCAACTCTCGATCAAATTCGACTAAGTAGACAAACGTCTAGTGAATCATAGAATCACTGTGTTTTGTTCGGTCAGTTACAGTTGTAGTGTCACTTTTAGGTATTAACTTGAGTAAATAGGTCAATAAGTTCGAAAAAGCAACGATGTCTATACTGACTTCCATTCTCCTTCGGAGGTTGAACTCAGCTACACACATCTCCCATCCCAGTTTCCTATGAATTAAGCAGAAACTGGTATCGAATGAAATAAGTGAGCAGAAAAAGGCTACGCAGGCCAATGTGCAAAGATGAAACGTTGCAATGAAATTTGCACCCATTTGATAAAAGGCCATTTATATATACTTATTTCAGCTTTTGCTAGAAGCTAATATAACCGTAATCACTGTACAGCCGCTGCTATTTATTATAAGGGATGCTATTCTGATCTGTTGGGCGCATCTCCCTAATGGACCAAGTAGCTGGAAATTGAAAACATTTTAGTAAAAATCTTAAAAAAAAAAGTATATGCAGAATCTAAGCCACACACTTTGTGTAGCCGCATGTGCACCTATCGCTCTGAAATTATCATTGTATTACGAGCAGTTTCCACCGAATCTCTGCCAAAATTTTCGATTATAAAAATCCAGACAGAATGCGCCAATCTGGACACGGAAATGGTAGTTTTTAGCTCCATAATCTTCAATTATCGGTAACATGGTTCAGCTAATTTGTCATTGTGTGAAGTAATATCATTTTTGAGTATCTCATCGCATTTCAGTGGGGCGTGTTTCGTTGTTCTTTAATTTTAATCTTTATCGATAGCGCAACTGTGTGCTATAAGAATAGCGTTATATGAATAATCGGCTTAATATATAAATATGTTTTATCGCCTTTAAAGTGAACATCTTAGAACGCATTTTATGTTTTTACAAAAACACTGACAGAATCAAAACTTTGGAAAGAGTAGTTTTTCTCAGGCGCAAATGTCGTGTACACCTCATTAATGGCATACATTTTTTTACATTATCTCTATTACTAGTTACAATTAGGTTTCGTTGTATACGTTGCCGCCCTATCAGCGAGTCAAGCGGCTCCTCCGTCGCGGTTACATTGGACTGTTCCACCAGTGCGCGCAGCTCCAGCGTTTGAAGATAATTTATTTTCTCCGACAGTTGGCAGGTCAATGCGTGAAAACGACGCCTATCTCGAAGGTAACTCAGTCCAAAATAACGGCCCATTCAATGAGGGGGCCTACTCATTCTCTTACGACGTTCAGGCCGAAGATGGAGGACATTCGCGTCAGGAGACTAGAGATGCCAACGGTACAATTACAGGTGAACGTTAATTTGATGTGGTTTTATTTTAACTCTTATCGATAAGCTCATCTCTACTTAGTTAAGTGCGCGATTGCTTACGGAAATGACAAAACACAAATAAAATTACTAAAATCATCCCAGATGAATATCTAGCATTTTGGACGTTGAGGCTCATTGCTAGGTCAACAGGTACGTGGGGTTCATAGAGCGGCTGGTCATTCGTTGTGTAGTACTATTTATTTACCTGCTTGTACATGGTTGTTGAACATTGCATTTCATAGGGACTTCTGGGAAGGCTAGCGATTGTACTGCCTTTTCCGCCCGGGTACATGTAAAAAAAGGTTACCGGCCTTTGTTCCTCGTGAGCAGTAAGAACTTCCACATGTGTTATCACCATATGTATAGTGAATCATTCACAAATAGGGCTCACAAAAAAACTGTTGGACATGTCGTCTAGACCATGTCGGTTTTTAACACTTTCTAATGCTAATGGAAACTCGCAGTAGCTAAGTTGTCATTGTATAAACTACGTACGAGATGACATCATGTTTAACATGAAAAAATTACAGTCTTGAAGAAAGCCAAATTGTCAAAAACAAACAAATCCACACCTAAACAATCCGTTTTTCTTCAGCCGCAAGATCTGCGGTAACAGATTTTTTGTTATTAAGACATTTGTATTATTAGAAGAAACACATAAATTTCGAAACGCCGAAATCTCTGAGGGAATGAACGCGCCAAAAAGCACTTTTTTATATAGGTATCTCAATATGGCGTAGCTAGGTGATTCACAGTAGTATAATTGTACGCTTTTTGTTAAACACCATGTATGTGTGTAGTCGTACGGACCTTCGCTTGTAAAGATCCTTATGTTACTGTCATTTTGAATTTTTAATTACTTGAGAAATATACCAATACTTAGATTTGAACGTATATTCACGTTTGTTTAGCCGCAAACTGATCAGACATCAGTATGCTTTTAACATATTTAACTCTAGTGAAGTACTAATAACAGGAATTATATTCGTATTATTATTATATATTTATTTTTTTTCACAAATTCACGAAAATACCGTGCGTGTATTTAAAACAGTTGAATCTTAATGCCCTGGCTATCTCAGTTTGCAGCTGTTATTATCATAGGCTGGCGATCATTATCTGCACTATCATTAAATACATTAAAAAAAAATTGTAAAAATTATAATATAATTTCTAATTATACTCAATTCGTTGTTGGATTGTTTCGTTTCGAATTGCTTTGGTTTACCGCTGTTAAGCGAACGTCGCTGCCAACGTGAGAATGCTCCATTGTGATGTCGTTTACGACCATGCCTTCCTGACATTTTACATTGATTACCTTTCATTTTGTTTTTTTTTGTTTTTGAAGAATCGTGTGTAATCATAGTAAACGAAAGCTTCCAAGGCAACTCTAAAAAATATTTTGTTGGCGTTAAAGGCAGACAATAAATATTCTGCAACTTGTTGGTATATTGTATCGCTTACTTAACCGGATCGAAACGCAAACTTTCGAAGTACGCCAGGAAAAAACAAAATAATTACATTTACAAAAAAAACAAACTTTTTACAGACAGCGATATGATCGCGTCCAGTTTGCCTGCAACATCAAATTTCTTGTATACATCGATCTCGTCTTTCGTCTTTTTTTCTGGTTACAAAATTATTGGCATCTGGACAGCGGCCAGTGAGATCTGGATGCTAGCTTGACGAACCTAAAGTGATTGGTAGAATATTACTATATCCATCATATCATCAACATATTATACCATCGTAAAAACCATAAAGTTAATGAGCGAATAGCCATTCTTTATGTGGAAACAACTATTTAACTTAAACGGAAAAGCCCCACACGGATGAACGATACTTCTATGCCAGAAGCATGGATTTCGTTTCTGGCTTCAAAAGCGCTGAAAGTGTCTCAGGATCACAGAATGAGACGAAAAAGCACGCCGAATGCCAATTCGTTAGCCCTAAATTTCACTCACTGAAAATTTGACGGTAGTGAATACGAAAGATATCCAAAGTGATAGCGTCGGCCGATTATAATCAGATTTACAAGCAGTAGCAAACACAGTACTGAAACACGGGCTTGACATAAACATATAAAATGTTCTCCTCTCTCTCTCTCTCTCTCTCTCTCTCTCTCTCTCTCTCTCTCTCTCCCTCTCGTTCTATAATTACGGTAAATAACGTAGACGAGCGTAGCGATATTAATAACAGGGTAGTGATCGTGACAATTCAGTGCTGAATATGTGTTTCTTATTCGTAAGTCGGCTTGACGAATAATTATTCCAATACATAAACAGAGTAGAAACACAGAGAATTACTACTGACCTTTTCTGATTGGACCTTCGTTGAGCCAAAGATGCGGCCATTATCATATTGAGCCAAAAATGTGACGTTAACCCGCCTATTCTCAGTAGTTCGCCCCGTTAGAAGGACCATTTCCCTCAGGTTACTGTATTAGAAAGATCGCCAGGCGAAAGATACCGAAACCTATAGATCATTTTGCAAGTAGGAGAATCGGTCTATATGCAAGGATGGTACTGACCAATTCTGTGCCACGTTTAGCATGTTTACTCCGGTTGATAGACAGATGCACAGACCAGCATGTCCAGGGGACCTTGTACACATCGCAACGCTTTTCGCAAAAAGACCTTCTCGACGATCCTAATCTCCCGCTGGTTTTAGCTTTGATATGCGTACGTACATGCTCATTCTACATGCGGATAGCACATGCGCTTGCTGATTGGCCTTAGCCGAATAGCCTGCTGCACTAGGCGTATATACAGATTTGGGAACGCATGGAATATATTCATAAACTGTCATTTTTTGTATAGTTGTAATGCTTTCGTAGTAGAGTATATGTGCTATGTGTGATGTGGCTCAGAAAAACAGCCTATTACCGGATTAGTAATACCGGCATAGGAAGCTCTAAGCACCGCCTGTCAAAACGGTCGTTTTCGATACGAAAAGTAGTGATTGCATACAATTTCCAATTACTCGTAATTGCTCGTTGAATGTATGGACGCTTACCACTCGTCGCAACCTCTACTTTCAGCCTTAAATCACTACATGCTTTTTGCAGGTAGCTACACAATTGCCTTAGCTGACGGCCGTCGACGAACTGTGGAATATATTGCTGATGCGGACGGTTTCCGCGCCCGGATCAACACGAATGAACCTGGAACAGGAGATGACGCGCCTGCCGACGTGCAATGGAATTCATCAGCAGAACCGGTATGACCTTACTTCAAATAGTTAAAATAAGGCAAGTTATGTGATTAACTGCCTCGGTCCAGCAGAAAAAGACCAGGCAAAAACTACCATCTATTTTATAATTCTTACAATTAGACAATTAACGGACGGCCCAGTAGAGTTTGTGTACGCCCAGCAACCAGATATTCAAGATAACATTTTCAGACAGCACGTTAGCATGCGCCGTAGTCCTCGCACTTCACTGTATACGAGTACTAATTCGTGCTTATTAAAAGCCTTAATTTCAGTAATAGATGTAGCTGTGATACCCTTATTCCAGTGTCAATCATTCTCATGTTGGTGGAGATTTTTGCCTTTAAGACAAAACGCATACGTCTAAATGTAACAATCCTTGCAAGCTGATATCAAATGCAATAAAGTATTAAAAAAAAATCTAAAGGTGAGGCGTGCTTGTTGGAAAAAATCAAATAGCTTAAACACCGTTTGTCATTGTTTAGACTACTCCTGTTGCACGACCACCTGACGCTCAACCCGGCGCTATCGGCGAACAACAGCCCCCGTCTGATCAAAAAAAGCCGTTCATTGAGGACACCAGGCCGCCAACTCATATCACGTCGCGCCTGCCCACAGCTCAACAACCTGTCGAAACTGTTGCGTTAATTCCCATTGCAACATCCCCCGGTGATCCGGATGAGCCTCGTGTAAGTGCTTTACACTATAATCTGACAAGGGAGGCGCTGCAAACGTTTTTCACTTGAAAGCGTATCATGCTTTAGACGAACGGTAATGTATGCCGATGATTGCTTTCTCGTTTGACAGCCCTGTCGTTCAAAGAAGCAAATATATGCCTACATACGATGAATCTATATGCTTGAGACGATCGTTTAATGTGTCTACTATGTCAGTTGTCTTCTGCGCATAATATTTCATTATTTAATTATATGGCAGTGTTAGCTTCCACTGCAATGTTAGTCACATCTGAACACATAGAAAACATAGTGAACACCTAATAAATGAGACGGAACATTTATTAATTTGATTTTACTAATACTTGTACACAGGATTTTTTACATTTTAACCAGAACATATTCAATGAATCCATGTTTTGGTGAATTTTGACCACTACATTTATTCTACATGTATTAATTTATTTACACGACAATACTATTGATGCATACAATGATAGTCGCTTAACGTTCGATTAACGTTCTTTTTAAGTCAAATACCATTTTCAAACGTATTCCTGAACTTAAGTAATAACGCAGCATTGAATTGCAGTCACCTCATCATCCGCCTCGCGATTTCCTTCCCCCGAACCCCCCCAGCACGACCCAGCGCGCGCCTGCGCAGCCCATCAACATTGTTTGGGCCCAACCTATCGCCTTCGCCTCAGCCCCCTGGCAACCGTATTTCAGCACTTACCCGTCCGGCATCGTTCAAATACGGGCCCCTTATTCGATTATTAAGAAGAAGAAGTAGGTTCTTGGTGGGGATCATTCAAAGATACTTTTTTTTCACAAAAGTGTAGAACCGGGCATTTAATTGGCGATGCTGGCTCGCCTCAAGGGATTCAAATAGACCCTCTTGTGGACTGTTCATGTGCCTGGGCATTTTTAATGAAAACAAAAGAAATGTACAACAAAAAAAAAATAGCACGTAGCAGTACAATATTAGTGAATGCTCATGTGAAATTTCCTGATTGTATATACGAGCTACAGAACTGCTGCTTCTTTTCTGAAGACATTAACAGCGAAAAAAAAAGCGTGAATGCGTGAGAGAGAAAAGGTTTGCGTGGCACACTTGGGACGCCGGAAAAAAACTTCATTTGATATAATTATCCATACTGTTGAAGAAGCCCTTTTCTTTCGAAATACTACACATCTGTACATTTTCTCTGTAAAAAAATGGATCCCCAACAATAAACCTAGTTTTAAATCCGTGTTTTCGGTGAAAGATAACAGATGCGCGGGATAAATTCAAACAACTCTGTTTGCCAGTTTTAAAAAAAAGTCTCTATGCAGAATAAATATGGCTGTCAAGGACGAATGCAAAGAGACCGAATTCAGGAGAATTATTACACTCACTCACGAAGTTACGGATACTGTGTGCAGAATTGTTCTTCATTTTTTATCCAGCGATGAAAAAAAAATCTGCAACTGTAGGAATGCGTCATAATGCGCCTTTTCCCGGTTCAACTCCGGAGTAACCGTTCCTAACTCCTTAAAGCTAAAAACCGCTTACTTGAGTCTGCTCGAACTAACTTTCTCCTATAAGACCAAATTATTAAAAAAAATTGCAGTTACTCTTATGACAGTTTGTGTTTCCGTCAAAAGGATAAAAAATAGTTACTATATTCCGCTATTCGCCAATTGTAGATTATGATAAAATAGAGAATCTTTCTTGCGCTCAAAATCCCTGTAATGAACCCGATTTTTTAGCACTTCCTTCTCCACTTTTCTTGAAAACACTTATTGGTTGGTGCATTCAAATTAGGCAAAACTTTGATGGGCGTATACACATACGTTCCTTTGCTGCTCCTAGTACCAGACCCTAAAAGCCAGTACTTTCTAGCGTAAAACAACAAACTCGTTATGGCAAACAATGGTGGGTCGTTTTAGATATCTGAGCAAAGATCAACTACTATCAAAGGTTTTTGCAATTGACCAATCTTCACTAAAAAAGCTTTTTTTTTCTTTGATCCAAACCAACGACCCGCGTTACGGTCACTTCTCATAGGGCCTCTGAGACATTCAAGAAAGATCTTTATTAAGAGCCATTTAAGATAGGAGAATACCAATTTCTAATATGGACGTTCAGGTAAATTTTAATAATTAGTCTTTTTGACATTTTCTACGTTTTTCACAACCTTTTGCATTTTTTGGAACCTTTGTCCTGCTATCAGCCTAATATTTTAAGCCGTTGAATTTTTTTTGTATTCAACTTATTTGGATGATTAACCAATTAGTTCAGCGCGTTTACACCTGCCAATATCGCTTGACGCACGATTGATATTGAATTACTAGCGGATTGAAGAACAATTATATTAAAAACAATTCAGTTAGTGGTCGAAGTCCCGAATCGAAAATGTAACTGCGATGGATAGCTATAACCAATGTGACCATCGGAGATAACACTTCCCGAAAAAAACTCGTTTAAATCTCTGCTTTTGTTTAGATGCGGTTATAGAAATAAAGGATAACTAACGATAATTTAGACCCTATATACGTGATTGAATCATTCCTGCAAAAATTCAAGTATATGTAAGTCTTATGTAATGTTGCTAAATATACTCTATAACAGAAGAATGGGCAAGATATTAAAAATAAACTAAAAAAATATACATTGTTTATTATGTAAATATGCAGAGTGTATCAAAATTATATTATGTTCCACAAATTTGTGTCTTTGTTTTAAATTCTGTATTCAAGCTACACGCACCTGAGGAACGAATCTCTCTGATAAAACGGTCGACTATGATAAAAAGAAAAGACCAACACTCAAATCAATTCGGTGAAAAGAGTTTTCAATCAAAGTGGAACAAAAACATTGTCGTATTGACTTATCTGAGAAAACAAAAATGGCATTTTTGACATAGCAGACAGAACGAATATAAGCTCACACCTTTGAAAAACTTTGTTTGCTATTAAGAAAAATATGTGTACAATTTTAATAAACTCGAACCTGATTTTCTCTAACCAAAAAAATCACTTTCGCTTGTTATTGTATTCTCTATTGATTAAAATCGAAGAAAAGAAAGATGGCCATCGTCATTGCTTAAATACTTCCTCAGCATGTTTATATATTTACATAAAACAATATTTTTCACCTGTACTGTGATGGGCGTGCTTGCAATTTGCACTCATCCATAGTCATAAAAACAGTTCTGTATAAATATCATTGATCTCAATATTGATCTCGTTTTTTCTCTCTAAACCTAAGATGAAGAGCTATTTCCAAGCAGCTACTAAGCACAGCACCTGTTACCACTATATGTGACCTGTAAATTACAACCACCACCGATTCCTCCTAACGATCTCAAAAGCTCGAAACTCCTCACGCGATCGATGATACACTCGAAAGTATTCGCTAACCCCGTTTTTCAAGGGGCAATCGTAAGCTATCAACAATCTTTCATATAATAGTATGACAATGCTAAATTTATTATTTCGAAGTACCATTTGGACTGCCTTTAATTACTAGTGTGCATATCCTAAGGCAGGTTTCTTGCAAGTATCAGGCCATAAAATTGACGCAACCACCTTAACTACTCTGATTATCATTTTCTTTCGTTTGTGCGGTGTTTATATACAAAGATGCGCCGACTTAAACTGTAATCAGCCGCAAACCACAATTTAAACTCATATCCCTTTTTCTCTACTCATATAT